AAAACATTGAGTAATGGAATTTGGGAAGTCTGCCAGGAAACTCATGCAGGTAAATTTCATCTGGCATCGTCTTCTCCCCTTTCTAGATCCAAGGTTCATGAACCTGTATCTTCCACTACCTTTGTCACTCTCCATAGCCCAAAGTGTACTCTGTACCCTGTGGGCTCCCAATAAGATGATTCACCAGCCGAGAGGACAGTAAATTTGGAGTTCTTACACATACATGCTTGTCTTCAATCACAGTTTCTCTTTAGGATTTGGAATTACAGGGAGACAGAATGAGGGCACATATCCCAGCCCTGAGCAGAGATCACGCCAGGACCAGATGTAAGCGAGTCATGAAAAAGTAATAAGGAAACCAATGGTTGAGCTGTACTTTAAATCCCCATTTAAAGCCAGGAAAACCCAATAAGCAGGATTATCAAGTACACGTTGCACTACATACCGATTTCATTCTACGAAAACACAGAGACAACTATGGAGTAGACTTTGATTGTGTAATGGTTGGGGGAGGGGTAGAAGAGTGAGTGTACAGACAGCCTGAACTCCCCTTGAGGCAGTGACTGCTTAGCCCAGGTTAGACATAGTAATTCAACAGCCCTTCTAACTTCTGGAAGGGGTTTGTCCAAGGGGAATATGGTTGATTTTAATACTAAAGCAATGGAGTAATTTCTGGACATAATACTAGGTCACACATCTGTGGAATCTACTATGTGCCAGGAACTGTTCTAAATGTTTGATGTAAAGCTCATGACCCCCATATGTGGTAGGAACATTAGAGTCATATTTTGCAAACAAAAATATAGCAGTGCAGAGAGGTTAAGTAACTTGCCCAAGGTCACACACTGGAAAGTGCTGGAGCCAGGATTCAAACTGAGCAGCTGGCCTTGGAGGTTCTGCTCCCTCTGTGGAACCTCTACCCATCCCTAGCTTCACCCTCTTGCTTCTTTTCAGAATAAAGTTCCTCACTCTGTTAAATCTATTTATTCCTAGAGAGTATGTGTAAACTGAATAACTGAATTTTATAAAGCGAATTTTATATATCTAAATGCACTGAGAGAGACTTGCTTTTGAAAGTCATGCTACAGGAAATCCCTTTGTAAAATGACTGTTGCCTTGCAAACAGTAGACATTTAATAAATGTCTGTGGAGTGACTTTAATTCCCCTAATTTGTATAAATGTTTCTTTTGGTATATTAAGGATACTAAAAATGAGGTACACGTTACTAACTGGAAAGAATATTGGAGAGAAAACTGCTACTAAGAGCAAGTGCAGACGGCGGAGTGATTAATTCAGTGAATCACCCAAGGAAGCAGGCGTTCTGCCAGTGCTGGCCTTGGGCTCCATGCCACCCTCTGCTCTGATAGGGATGCCAACCCTCCTGGGGCCGCTGACAGATCGCTGAAGGGAGGAATGGATGGGGTGAGGTGGAGCAGATCTGAGGGCTCAGTACCAGGGCATGTGAGCTCCTAATCTACTTCCTTTCTTGCAGGTGTCACTAGCTTCCAGGGTACTTCAGTTTATTTATCTCCTATGTGACAATCCCAGATCCTGATGCTCCTATTTCATGGACCAACGGTCATCAACTGTTCAGAGGAGATAAAACAGAAATGAGGATGGGGCAGATCATGAGAACTAGCCCTGGGTGTGATGGGCCCCAGAAGCTATCAAGCAGATGTTGGGTGGAGTCACCTCAGTGGAACTCACCCTCCCCACTCCTCCAGCTTTAGGCCACAGAATTTGCAAATGGCTGGGAGGAGAAAGAAAAACAGTAATTGCCATGCAAGGTCATTTCGAAGGCCATCGTTGGTGCTGGCTATATAAACTCCTATTTCACACATATGAAGTCACATATTTACACACCTCATCTATCTGTCCACCCTTCCATGCATCGACTTTATCCATTTATTCTATAAATATTGATTGCGCACTTGCTGTGTCCCAGGAACCTGCTAGGCTCTAGCAATACTATTGAAAGATTGGCCTCTACCTGTAGAACTTGTCTTACTTCAATTCAGCAATGTGAAGCACTGTTCTAAATAAAGTAGTTAGGGGATTTATAATTTTACAGTATATATTGTTTTCTCCCAAATATTTTGAACTCTCAAATTCCCAGTATGAGTAGTTAATACAAATGAACAGTTTGACAAATCTAATCATTATGAGCTCTAAACCAGTCAGAGCAGCAGGGAGGCTCACCCTGATTCAGGTTCGGGCTCAGGTCACTGGCAGAGTGACCTGGATACCCTTCTCACTTGTTATCAGAGGAGCCCATTCCTAACAAACTGCAAAACAGCCTTATCCTCCTGTAGGATTTCACCTGCTGGAAGGTTTGTGGTGAAAGCTCATGGCTTTTAACAGGAAAATTAGTAGAGGCTGCTGGGCAGTGATTAAGAGGCTGAATTTGCCCATATTGATTTGGCCTTGCTGGATCTTTGCATGAGGCCAGAAAACAGAGCATCACCATGTATTAGAATGTTTTCCCCAGAAAGGACCTCGAGCCCGGTTTTAGAAAAGCTGAGTCCTTACTGCTGGTAACAGAGACCAGAGGTGAAATTGCAATTTCCTCTACAACATATTCCTGTGATATTTCCCAAAACAATTCTTTGGTAAAAAACATTCCACACAAAATATTTCCAGTGAGTGAGGCAGCCCTCACCATGAGTGCGGTGTACAGGTGGCATAAAGAACTGCAAAGAGCAAAGACTTGATGACTCATTCATACAGGGCACAGAATACATCCTTAGAACTGTTTAAGTTTCCTCAGCTCAGCAATTCACAACTGCACCTTGGAAAGTGATTCCTAAGTGGGGCAAACTCCAACTCTTCATCTGTGAAAGAGTTGTGAAAATGACACCGTAGGGAATGTCTGGGGAATAAATGAGACCCGAGCAGACATCAGTTCTGCCCATAGGAAGCACTCAATACATTTTAACTCCACTCAATTATTCTGGCCCGGCAGGTGCTGGCCTAGGTCCTATTACCAGCTCCCACGCTAACTTGCTGTGTGACCTTAAGCAAATGAGTTTACCTCTGTGAACCTCAATTCTCTCATCTGTGTCTCATGGTGGTGTCCTAAGTGTGTTCTGGAGCCCCCATAGGTTTTGTCTAATCTCCTGAGACTCCTGGAGAAAGGCGGGGGAACAAGGATTGGGCCTGCAACCTGAGTAGCAGTCTTCCATGTGTTTTCTGGCTCCGCACCTCTGTGTGATGCCTCACTTGTGCAAAGTTTTCTGGGTCCTTAAAAAAAGTTTCTCAACCACCAGTGAGGTCGAAAGCCCTTTCGAGATCTAATATTTTTCAGAGCAGACCCTCATGGATCATCCTTTCTGCAGACAGACATGGATTGTAGACCAAGAGGTCACACCAGGCCCCACTGCCCTTTTTCAAGACAGCCCTGTGCCTTTCCATGCTTGGCGTTTCTTCCACTTCCGTGCTCTGCTATGATCCCACCCGTTCAATCCGCACATTCTCCTGGATGTTTTCTTTGATCCCCAAGGTCATGAAAAACCCATTCCTCCCTCCTCAAAATGCTTCCAGCCTTTTGTTATACCTCTGTCACATTTACTTTTGGAGTCATTTATCAGAATGTTTTATATCTTCTACCCGATCATAAGTCCTAGAAGGGCAGAAGCTCACTCTGAGGATGTTTGTGTATGTAAATAGTGGGTGCTTGGAAGAGATGGCTGGATGGGACCACACAGCAGATTTTAGAGCCTCTGGGTAAATTTTTATACCCCCGGACAAACTCAGGAAAAAAAGATTTTTAAACTTACTGATAATTGATTGCCCCTCAGAATAAATAGGTTAATGTAAATATTTCTAAACAAATAAATGAATTAATAACCACAGAGCAAAACCTAATGCAGTAAATGCAACCCTGAGAAAGTGGATGCTTCCATATCGCTCTGATGACAACTTTGGGAATCTGAGGGCACCAGCTGAATTCACACAGCAGGAGGCACCTAAAGTGATTACAAACTCTTTTTCTTCAAGTTAGAGAGACAGGTTTGAATACCGACTCCCACTTGGTTGTTTCCTTAACCTCTAGGCCTCATTATTTTATTTATAAGACATAAATAGTAATAGCCATTAGAAAGAGAGAATTACTTTAAAGATTAATAAAATAAAGCATGTGATAATGCCCTGTGTCTGGCACACAGTGCATGCTCAATATATACTAGTTGCTATTTAAAAACAAAACAGTTAAACCAATATAAATAAAAAAAATGAATAGGGAGCAACTTGATAGCCCTAAATTGCATGCAACATGGTGGTTATCTTTAGAGGAAAATAACACGGGACTGAAGGTGTTCAGTGGCAGAATTTCAAACCACTAAGGATTATTTAAGCGACTCACATTCTCAGGCATGCCAGCATTATGAGGATCCCTAAATTTAATCTACAGATATTCTGAATTTTTTTAGTTCTTACTTGCAAAGTCCCCCATGATCTGCCCTTAACTCTTGTCACTTTCCTTGTCCCTCAGATGGCTCCGGTCACCCTGTCCTCCTCACAGCTCCTCTAATGTACCAACCATGTTCCCTCTGCAGGGTCTGCTCTTCCTCTGCACAGATACGGTGCCCCCAGCTATCCATGTGGCTAGATCCCTGCCTTTCTTCACATCACTGCTAACAGATCATCTCATCAAAGAGGCCTTCCTTGACATCCATTGACCATCGCTGTCGTCATCGCCATCGCCATCACCATCACCATCACCATCACCATCACCATCACCATCACCATCACCATCTCCAACATCTTTGCCTTTCTCTGGTTGTCTTCACAATACCTGTCACCACCAGACATCTTATATCTTTATTTGTTTCCCTGGTTGTTGTCTTTCTCTCCCACCTCGACTATAGGTTCCATGACACTAGGGACTCTGGCTGCTCTATTCATTGTGCAACCCCATCACTGAACCATGCCTACCACGGAGACATGAAGTGTGCTCAACAGACAGTGATTAAGTAAAAGAATGAATGACTGCTAGCCTGAGTGGCACCATGGGAGGCTACCATTGCTCTGCTATTCATTTTTAAAAAGTTCCCCCTGGGAGCTATGAAACTACTCACGTGTCTGGGTCAAGAGTCTTACCCGGTTAACACAGAAGCAGGAGCAACGATCTGTCTAGAAACTGCATTAGTCAGATTGTTGATATTTACAATGAAAAACTTTACAGTTGGATTCTCAGCTCCTGCCTAGGAAAAAACAATCATAGCATTAGTATTGATAAGAAATATAATTTCACTATACAAAAATGTCTTCATTACAGCCATAAAATTATAACAATCAGACATATTCAAACAATTTAAGACTGATAAAATGAACTTAAGAGAAAGTCATAGAATGCAACCTTTTCATGTTCAGGCAGAAATATATATATATGACTTAAAGGCCTCAAATACTCCTGTTTACATAATAAGTATTCATCATTTATGTATACTTCATGCAAACAAGAATAAATTTCTTAAAATAATTTCTGTTATTTTGCAAATATACCCCAATTCCAGAAGACAAGAAGTCTGCTGGCTGACCAGTAGGAAGAATTCCAGAGGTTCAGCCAAAGATACAGTCAACCAGGAAAATTAGTTTCCCCGAACCGAGAGCCAATAACATTAATTATGAAGCCATCATTTTCACCCCAAATTCAGGTTCAGCATGTTGGAGCTTTATAATAAATAGTATGAAAGAAATTCATAAAACCTTTTTATATATACACATAGATCATTGACTGACAAATTAGTTAGAAATAATATATTTTTAGTAAGAACATTTTATGCTTTGTTTGTTTTTTTGCCAGTTTCACTCATCAAAAAATAACATTTCACTGATAATATATCTCCATATTTAGACTATGATTTTTTTTGTTTCTTTTAACTTCCTCTATCTTCCTAAAATGGCAGCTCTTCATCAAACAAATTGAGTGAGTTGGTAAAAAATATTCTTTTTTCCAATTGCATATAGCTGAAAAACACTATTAGATTTTCCTGTGGACAATACTGTGGCCATTATTATTATAATACCAGTAAAGAATTGTGGTTCCCTTCTAAATCCCCCTCTTCCTCAGCTTACACTGCTTAAGAAAGCTTTTCAGTTTTTCATAAACATGCATCCCGAAGGGGGAGAACAGCCTTGAAAACCAAGACATGACACTATTATTCCAAATGTAGGATGTGTGAAATTTACATTAGTGCCAAATCTATAATAGAATCACTAAAACTAGTCATGTATCTGTTAATTAGTAATACAACCTGATATACGACCAAGCTTTTCAACTTCATCTAGGGCACATTCCAACTTCTACAAATGAGATGAGCTTGTGATTCAATTATAGCCTCTCTTTTCCTCCATTCAAACATTTTCAGTGCCCCTACCTCTTTCAAAAGCATTTTCCCCATCTTTTTCGGCTTGTCATTCCTCAAAGTTTTTGGAGAAATTACAAAACCTTAAATCACACTCTTCCCTGGGATAATAAAAATACTTTAAAATTGCCAGATGCTGTTGACTTCAGCAAGAGTAATCACAGCAAGCTGTTGAAGAGAGACTGACAATATTTTCATTAGCAGGAAAGGATTAAATGAAACCATTCTCTTCCCATCAAATCACAGAACCACTATATGAATAGGAGCACAGACCTTTGGATATGGAACATACACAGTCTTTGGGTACTGCCGTGACTCATCAAAGTAGACGGAGAACTCAATAAGCGGGACTTCGGTGTCATTAAATTGGGCATATGCTAAAAAAGTGCCGTTCGGAGACCACCACAGAGCAGAGTAGGCACTGAAGACTTCCTCTGAAAAAGGACATAAATTGTTCTGTTACAAGAAGGAGCTGATAAATTGGCTTTGGCATTCAAAATATTGTTCTCATTAGCTTTAGTAATTACAGAAGAGTTCAACTAATGAACCACTTTGCATTTGCTGGGCTTCCAAAATCAGAGTAATATAAATGAATAAAAATAAAATCCTCAAGGATAGATCTGGATTATAAAAATAAATAACCCGTTGGACTGTTTTAGAATATTTTAGCACACAGTATTTAATACAAGTGCTACATGTTTTTCTTTATCTTATAATCCTCTAAATTTATGCCATAAAACATACTAAAAGTAAATTTCACACAAGGGCTGATTCTCCTTTCTAATTTTCAAACAGTCAACATGCCAGCATTCTCTCCCCAACTGGGTGGGTGGTATGTGGCTCCATGTTATTAAACCAATATGGTGCCCAGAGTTTACTACTCTTGGCACAAACAAGGTATGTGTGGGAAGGATAGATTTAGAATGGCAAGGAGCTCCATGAGACCCCTACTGAGAAATATCTCCTTTGCTTAGCCTAGAAACTGAAGACTCCCTTGGATTAACACTATCCTCTGGTGTTTAAACTGATGGGTGAGAAAAGAGGGTCATAGAGGGATGAAAAGGAAAAGAAAGGTTTTGCTTTACAGCATGCTGTTGGACTCGTTCTCAATCTCTTGCAAAGGTAGCTCCTTCCTACATATATTATGAAGGCTATTCGTGGGACTTCCAACCTCTGGCTCTTAAAATGCCAGAACCTCTTTTACCAACTGGGAATGGAGGATTCAAATAGACTAGATAGAGACTCTTAGTCCTTTAGTCAGGTTTAATCCACAAATCTCATGTTCAGTGTGAGTGTAAAGGTAAAAACAAGAGCATAGGAACTCGAATCTTAGAATCAGGAAACCATCTATCCCAATCACTTTTCTGATTCTTGAGGTTTCCTATCAAGTTTCTTCTAAATGATTGTTTTCAATAATAATAGGAGTAGTATTTATAGTAATAATAATAATAATGATAATACAATGTATTAATAATTATCATGATGAGCATCTGGCATTTAATGAGTGCTAACCATGCACCAGACATTGATAAGCAACTGACATCTGTTACTTCAGTTAGTCCTCATAGTAACTCACTGTGCAGACAAGCAAAGGGAGGCAGGAGGGCTTAAAGAGAATAAATAATTTGCCCAGGGTCACACAGACAATAATTGATAAAATCAAGAAGGAATCCAGACTATTTGGTGTGAGTCTATGCTTTTTCATCTCCGTGCTCTACAGTCCCTTCTTCCCTATGTTAGCATTTCTAGTAACAGAAAACCTTCTACTTGATAAGGCAGGCTGCTCCCCCTATATCATTTAGGTAGCAATTTAGAATTTACAAAACACTTATCTAATTTAGTCTTCACAAAGATCCCCAGGTGAGCCTATTCATAGCCCATTTTACAGAGAAAGCAACTAAAGCCAAGAGGGATTGAGTGAACAGGGATAAGAACTAAGATGCAAACCTTGTGATTTTAAGTCAAGGGGGTTTCCCACTAAGAACTTCTTCATGTACTGAGTTGATGTCTCACTCCTTGTGGCTTCTACTCATTAGTTCTAGTCTAAGATCAAGGTGCAGTTCCATAAAATGAATACAATGACAGCAGGGTTATGGTTTTTAAAATTTCTCATAGGTACAGGTAGCAGGTAGTGTTCTATGTTTTGAATTAGTGGTTATTTGGAATATAAAACATATTTTTCCATATTGATGATGTATTAAAACTATTCTTATAAAACTAATTCTGGTTAAACTGAAAATTCTGAGAATGAAGGCACCATGTGTAGGGAGAATGACAAACAAAGGAAAGATTTCTAGCTCTTCATGATACAAAGCTGTCTGTGAGCACAGGTGTCTATGGCATCCCCTCCCTCCACATTCTGAACCTCCCTCTCCATCCTGTGATACCTTCCATCCCACCACTCTGACCTTATGTAATCCTTGCACTTAGTGTTCTCCCCCGAATAGGGCATTTAACTCACTCCTTGACAATTATTTGTTGGCATCTTTGTCTCCCTCTCTGTTCTGAATTCCCTGAGAGCAGCAGTTGAGTGGCATTTGTCTCTGTCTCTAGCACCTGGCACAGCACCTTGCAGATAGTTGGCTTTCAGTGTGAATTGCACTGAATTACCCACACCTCCAATGTCAACACTACAGCTTCGAGGGGGTAAGGAATGCTCCATCTTCCAAAATTATTTCTTTCACCAAATTTCTCATACTTTCTCTCACCAAAATTCTCATTTTTAGCTCTGGCTTAGGTAAACTATGTTCATACTCAAGAGTCAGAGTCGTATAATTAACTCATACTAGGAGATAAAGTATTCCCCAAAATGAAAGAGAAGTATACTTAAGATAAAATATTCTTTAAAAAAGAAGATATATTGACTAAAGGAAAGTAATAATCAATTTAAAAAATCATGAAATAAGACAAAGTAAAAACAGATATTGAGAGGTAAAGCTATTTGGGGACATGAGATGGGGCAGAGGGCACAAGTTCCAGAATGGAGGCTTCTCTGTGAATGTCCCTCCACAGTGTGGCACATGGACCTGTTTGGACATTGTAGCTTTGTTTGTCCTTTTACTTATGAACCTATAGATTCTCCAAATGTACTCCCTTTTGATCCCAGCAACAATTCATGGCTACAGTGGAGAGGGTGGATCTGATATATTGAGGTTAGGTTTGCTCTTTCCTAAGTAGAGATCATTTGTAAATATACAAAACCAATTGTAAGACTTTACCTGTAGGGACCAAAGTCTCATTTTTAGAAACATGTCCACCATGTTGGAACTGTGACGCCATTCTTCGTCTTTGAATGGTTTAGTCATAAAGAGGCAAAGTGAGATCTTTCTAGCTATTATTTACTTTAGAGAGGACTTTAGTGTTAGGGGTGTCCTTATCTTATAGATGCCCATCTGTTCGAGGATTAGTTGGGTCACGACTTTGGGAAGAGGCTTTATCTGGTTCATGTTGGGAATTTGGAGGCAGCGCTGTGCTGCCCATCAAGTGTTGAAGATGTTTTTCAATCACTAAGTGACCAGTGCTAGTAAATTTTATTGCATGTTTTAATCAAACACTTATTTTTGGGCCATGGGAATCTAGCTTTCTTTTAAAGTGATTTTGTTTTCTTTTGGTAAATACTGTTGTTTGTTTAATTAAACTTGACTTGAACTGGGTAACAACCAAAATTAAGTAATAAAGAAAAACTTTTTTTATAACCACTTAGAAGAAACAATAGAATGAAATAAACAAGAGTCTTTAAGTATGAGGCAACTTTGTAAATGGTTGGAATAGTCTCAGAATGCCTTTTACCTTGGCAACTATAGACATGAAAAATGTTTTTCTAATATTTTCTAAGTTTCTAAAATGTTTTTCTAATATTTTAAAAAACTCTTTATACTAAAAGAGAAAATAATCTCTTTCCTCATTTTCTCTTCTGTTATTTGACCTATTTATTTTCTTAAGCCTTTCTGATTACTTTTTTCTTTAAAATTAGAAAATTATGATTTGTCTAAGTTCAAATGAACACAAATCTTCTACTAAAGAGGCATTTTTCTTCTCCTCTACTCTTCCACCTCCAAACAGTATTTTGTCATCTTTTGTAATGTTGTAGGAGTACTTAGCTTTCCTTAGTAACTTCTGGGTTAGGTAAGTCTCTTAGAGAAACAGCTGATGTTAATCTGAAGGCCTTTATTCTCCACTAAGACAGAAAAGCTACCTATACAGAAAGGCCCATTGTGACAGTAGACTGAAGACAATGGAGCATTGAGAGACAATGAGGACATAAGCAGCTCTAGCTACTGCAAAGAAATTCTTGTTCTATGAGATACCTGGTGTCTTGAGTGCTAAAAGAGATTTGATGACATTTTTAAAAATGCAACTTTTAAAAATGCCATTGAATTTCTCCCTCTTTAAAGAAATGCTTGGCTACTTTTAAAAACTTACATATTTTCTCATTTGAAAAGGCTTTAAAGTTTCTACCTTCATAAACCCAGTCGGTTATTCCATTACTTATTACGTTTTCTTTCCCAGTCCATGTGATCCTCTGACTTGATGAATTTGGCTCATTTTTAACATAAATATCATTGTTCCAAACATATGCCTAGAAGGATTGAAAATAATATTGATAAGTAATAACATGTTATATTTTATCCAAAGTTTGAGAAAACATTTATCAATTATTTTATCCTAAAATAATATTGGTATGGAAGTGTAATGATTACCTTGGGTTATCTAATTTGAGTAAAATGAAGCCATTTATGCCCTCCCTCTTGTATTCTTAAATTATTAGTATGCAAGCTATAACCTAAAATAATCCTAAAAATACTCAATATTTAAAAAGAAGAAACTTACAGCTATTTGGATGCTAAAGTATATGAGACCTAGAAGACTGATGACTTCTATAGAATGATGTGTGCTTTGCTTTTTCTTCCTGGGGGAGGTGACTAAGGAGTACAGTTGCATGCTGGGAGGGAGAAGTTTAACTACAGATAAATATCCCGTCTTCCTGTTTAGATTCTTTTGGACTTCCAACATTCTCTTAGCACTATAGAACAAGAAGATATATCTATAGTGACACAGAGAAGGTCACAGAAAGCAGGCATATCTCCGAAATAAATAAATAAATAAATAAATAAATAAATAAATAAATAAATAAACCACTGAAAAACAAGGATCCTTCAGTAGACCCTAAAGATGTGATCTTAGACACCGTTTGTTAGCAGTAAAGGTCTTTGAAGAATGCAGACAGAGAATAAACACATGCTTGCTTATTTCAAACAATGAGAGCAACCCCCCCAAAACCCCTAATTACAACAGAAATTAGAATTTAAGAGCTTAATGTGCATTTTCTCAGTAAATAAACAATTCTCTAATAGTACTTCAGAAACTTTCAGGAATTGTATTTACTTTGTTAGACTAGTAAAATATTTTAGGCAATAATACTATATTTGATAGTAAAGTTTTGGCTTTTTAAATGTTTGTTCTGTATCAGGGTTTGTGGCTTCTGCATGTGAGAAACTTTATTATTCTGTATATGAGCCATTATTTTTCTGACAATAGGAGAGACTCACTAACCAATTTATGACCCTCTGGTGACCATGTGATGAACTGTGTGTTGTTTGGAATTCTCTCTTCTGTAATCAACTGCCTGGAAAAAAGATAAAGGAAACACTATCAAATGAATAAATCACAATGGGGTTTCTTTTTTGAAAGAAACTATTATTGCACCAGAAAAGTATAAAAGATTTTATGAGGAAGTCACTGACCTTTTAGTTAAGTCATAAATGTCATATGAAGCTGTGTAGGAATGCCTCCATTTCTATAAAAGAAAATAGACATTTTAGGCTTCTGCGATTAATGATAGTTTCGCCACTTGCTATCGGAGCTCAAGATAAGAGACAAAGTAATGTAACATTGTATAATTCTCAAATTTTATCTTTTTTTATAATTCCATTTCTAGATTCTTAGATTTTTGGAATTAGAAAATATTTTGGAGACTACCTAGTACAAAGTCCTCTGGACTTTGTCTATAATCTAGCTTTGGCATCCATCACCTCTGCCAAGAAGCCTTCCCAGGACTACTGTGAGCTGACAGCTACTTCCTGTGCAAACGTTATTCCTAGCACTTACCACAGTATTTTAAGCTCACCTGTTTAAGAAGAATGTAAATTTTCACTTTTCAACCAACTTACTAGCAAAATATTTACAAGATCTAAAATTCTACTGCTGGTGGTGCTGTGGAGAAATGTTTACTTTCTTACGTTGATTGTGAGAACATAAAGTGTTATAGATATTTTGAAAGCCACCTGGCGATATATATTAAAATTGAAATACATACATTAATATTAAAGAAAAACACCTCAGATAGCTAAGAAATAAAAAAGAAAGAAAAGCAAGCCAAATCCAAAGAAATCAAAAGACCATAAATAATAAAGGTAAAAGCAGTAAAAATCAGAAAAAAACACAATAGGAATATATCAACAAATTAAAAAAATTGTTTTTAAAAAGATTAATAAAATTGCTAACATAGGAAGTGTGAATAAAAAAGGTATGAATGATTAATATCAGAAATGAAAAATAGAATACCACATCAGGCTCTACAGACATTAAAAGATTATAAGACACTATTACAAACATTTTTGGCCAATAAATTTTAAAAGTTAGAAAAAAAGAAAAATTCCTTGAAAAACAAGTGATCAAAAATGAGACAAGAAAAAATATAATTCTAAAGTAAAAAAGAAAAAAAAGGCTGAAGAGAAAAATATATGATTACATATTTATATTTATGAAAAATTATTCTTATATGTGGATGAAAATGTAAATTAAAAGAAATTACTTATCTATATATCTGTCTTTCCTACCATACTTCTAGTAGTAAGAAATTTTGTCGTATTCACATTTAAATACCTAGATCTTGGTCTAGTACAAGCTACATAATACATGTTGAAGGAAGAAACCAAATAAAAGTAAAAGTCAGATTTTACCTATGAGGACGAAATAGATGAAATAAAGTAGCCCGAGGCCCCAGTTAATAATGGCAGAGCTGAGACACAAGTTAAGGCTCCTAACCTTGAAGAATATTTCCTTCTTATCATTTATCATCTCCCTAACCTCTTATGTCAACAAATATTTATTAAGTCCCCACTTTTTACAAGTCGTATAGTCCTTTTTGAATGCTAGATTATTTTGACACATGCTATACTTGTTTCTGGGGAACCTCTGAGAATAATACTTGGTGTGGTACGGTTAACAATATTGAGAAATTTAAGAATATGTGAGATCATTTTAGGTTGACAGATCCATCACAGGTTGTTAAAGGAGGCCAAACATGTTTGGCATGTTCACTTCATCTTTTAAAACTGACTCATCAACTTATTTTGTTTATAAACATTGGCAACTATCCTTCCTGACACATTACTGGATAAGACAGGCTCTCTCTCCTCGAGGAGCTCTTAGTTAAATGGGGCATATGAACAAGTAAATTCAGGAGAAGAATCACAAGACATACGATAGAGGTGAGTGGGGTGAAGCAGGCATTATAAATTAGGCCTTGGGGAGGGAAAAAGCCTTATGTAAAAGGTGATGCTTGGGCTGGGTTTTAGTGGCAAAGGACTTCCACAAAGAGAAGAGTTAAAGAAAAAAAAAGCATCATAGCAGAGAAAAATTGAAGTACAAAGATAGGAAAGATCATTTTAATAGCACAGCTTTGGAGTCTTATAACCTGGATTCAAGTCTTGCTATAGACTTAATGTTTGTGCCCCCCATCCCAAAATTATATGTTGAAGTCTTATCCCACAATATGATGATATTTGGTGGTGGGGCTTTTGGGAGATGACTAGGTCATGAGGGTAGAGTCCTCATGAATGGGATTAGTTCCCTCATAAAAGAGGCTCCAGAGAAATTCCTTGCCTCTTCCACCATGTGAGGACACAGAGAGAGGATGGCCAACTATGATCCAGGAGGCAGGGCTTCACCAGATGTTAAATCTGCTAGCACCTTGATTTTGGACTTCTCACCCTCCAGAACTGTGAGAACTAAATTTCTATTGTTAAGCCACCCTGCCTACGGTAATCTGTTATGGCAGCCCAAATGGACTAAGACAAGTCTCCAATGTGTAACAGCAGGCGAGATTCTTTCTAAGCTTCATTTTCTTTTCTTTAGAAAAATGGAGATAATGACAGCAACAATCTCAGGTGCATGAAGATGCGCATAAAATGCTTAGTAGGGCTCCTGGAACATTGTCAACATGTGATAGATGATGCAACTATTTCTATCTCTAGAGCATTAGGCAATGAGTAAAGATGCTAGAACATCCATACCAGTCTGTATAGCACTTATTTATTTATGTATTCACTCAGTTACTTGTTTTTTGTAGCCACTTAGAAGTAATAATTATATCTTAAAAATAACTTAGAAATAATAACTGATCTTTCTGGAAGCACTAACTGAGTCATGGAGAAGTCATGGAGTATGATCTAAAGAACAGTGTACAGTAGACCTCCAAGGAAATGGCACAAAATTAGACTTTGTTCTTGTTGTTGTTCTGGATAGGGCTTTTGAGCATTGATTAGTCAACATACTTACGCTGCACAGAAAATTCTATTGGATTCTTTGGGAAGTAAAATAGAAGATACAGTTTTCTACTTTCAATAATCTTATAATTTACTGCTTTGCAATAAAATATATGAAGAAAGTAAAATAACCTAATATGATAGAGAGTAAATGGTGGAGTGTGGGGGAACAGAGTAGCAGGGGCCAATGTTAGATGAAATGATTCAAGCAAGTCTGGACCTTAATTACTAAAAAGGGAGAGCCATATGACAGAGGGAAAAAGGTACCAGGAGGAAGCAATAGCAAATGCTTTCGCCCTTAAATGGGAATAAAAGTGATACTTGATTAAAATAAAGAGCAGTACATTTAAAATTCTTAACTTTGGATGATTGTGTCACCTGGAAGCCATTAAATCTACCCATAGCTATGCTGAGTTAGTGTGGGGGTAGACTGCAGAAATCTGTGTTTTTATAAACCTCTCCAGGTCATTCTAAAAGGCACACAAAAGTGGGTAGCACTGGGCAAGCATGGTGAATGAAGAGGGTGGTAGGAGGTGAATTCAGAGGGGCAGAATGGGGTCTAATCACTCAGGCTTCTGAAGATGCTACGGTTAGAATTTGTGTTTTATTCTGAAGCCAATGATCGTGAGGATTTAAGTTTAGGCATGACGTAATCTAATTCAGGTTTCAAAAGGAGCTCTTTCAATACTTCCTGATAAGAATGGATGGCAGGAGGAAGGGGACAGACTGGAAACAGCAAAAGCAGTTAAATACACATGTAAACTCCAGTGACACAACAAATACAAATTACCAATGATAGCTGTCTAGCCAAGGTCCACCAGTGAACTACATCCATCAGTACACATTAAATGGCACTTGTTGAACTGGGCTAAATACAAAATTGAGCTGGCATTTCCTTTTCTGTTTCTACCTTAACCTCACAGTCTTTATATGTTAGTCTTGAACATGGACAACCATTATTTGGTGGTTCTCAACCCTGGCTGCTGATTAAAATAATCTACATATTGAAAAAAATAATAGTGATGCTGGTTTCACACTGGACACTTCAGTTTATTGATCTGAGGATTAGACCTGGACACTGGGAAGTTTTAAAAACTGCTCAAGTGATTTTAATCTATAGATTAATTCAGTAGTAAAAACCACTGAATTCAACCAATAATAACCCATTAGTTGGGAACAGATATGTTAAAGTTATCATAGGATTCTGATTAGCTTATAGTTGATAAGGTTAGCAGAATACAGTCATTGAGTACCTAAAAAATGGAGCCCTGCACAGCGAATCCAGAGTAAATACTGTGATTGGGAGTCACCATTCCCAAATGGGAAATGGAATATGGAATGGTTTGCTTGGCTTGAGTATAGCGGTGTTGGTATGTGAGATAAGGTCACTTGGTATTTATTATTTATTTTAGGGAAAAGAAAAGACAGAGGTGGGGATCCTTAGCTTTACAATTTCTTCTCAATGCAGAATATCTCCACAGGTTTTAAATCTTTTTCTACATGTCTCAAAACTTCCTATACTTGACAACTGTTGTCAAATCCATGACTAACAAAAAAGCTGCAGTTAAAGTTACTGGTGATTTACAGCCATCCTAAACATGAAGAGGATATGTGATTAAACTAAAACCTTCCCTAAATGTGTAAGAACTTGATGTTAGGCTGAGTGACTGGAGGAAGCTGAGTGCTCTTGCAGGGTGCTGCTGACCAGTGCTGAGGCTCCCCTCTGATGGTTTGTATGTTATGGGACCTAGGGCTGGGTCACCTTGCAGAGTCTGTTCTGGAGGATGAGAAGTTTAACTCTTTAAAACAAATATTTACTGAGAGTTTTACTATATGTAAAACTGAGACAAAGGAAATAAGGTGTTATATTACTGGATGTACAAGTCAAACATGTAAACTTACTTTTAAATTATTAGTTCTATTTTATTATATTATTTTTTTAGTATTTATACTATAATATCACATACATTTTAGTATTTGAGAACACTAAAAATAAGCTTCTTTTAAAACATTTAATAAATTTTTATGAATGAAAATGACTATTTCTCCTTTTAATGTTGAATTAATGAGTTTTAGCGCCTGTTACATTACTTAAGTGTCAATCTTCAATATTCATATCCTTAAAATCAGTTATAAAATATCATAAGATTCTTTAAAGGTCATGTAAGAAAGCATTTCTTTTACCTTCACATAGTTGTACTCTAAGAGAATAAACTGTCTATCAGGAGATACTGAATAATCATTTATGGAATGTCCAAATTTATCCTGTCAATCAAGAAGAAAAAAAAAACAATTAGACAATCCCATTTAACTGCCATCACTGAGTACTTACTATGTAGAGGGTACAGTTCTAGACCTGTGGATTGTGTCTTGGGTGCTCCCAGTCTAAGAGAGATGGCACTTTCCCTTACACAAATGACCATGATGTAAGGTAGATGGTGATCAGGATTAGAGAACCAGAGAGGAAAGGATTAATTCTAACCAAGAAAAGATGGCTGTGAGGGTGGAGATCAGAAACAGAGAGAGAACTTTCTCAGTAGGAGGAACAGCACGAGCAAAAACCCAGATGTGGGAGAGTGCATGCATATTTAGAGACTGTCTAAAGGTTAGGTATAACCTGAATACCAGATAGGGTATATCAGACAAAGTATAAGGTGAGAGGACATAAAATTAGAAAAATAGCTGGGACCTAAATATTAGAAGTGGAACTATGAACTATTTTTTTTTGCATATAGACATGATAGAATCTATCTGTTTTTTACAAAGATGCTCTGGTGACACAATGACTGAGATGAGATGAGAGGGGTCGTATTACCCCTGGACTTGGGCAATGTAGTGGTCTGGTATACAGAATGGAGATGGGAACACAAATTAGAATACTCAGTGACAGAAGATTAAACAAGGCCTTGAACCAGGACTGTACAGTGGGAATGAAATCTGAGAGACACTTGACATTACAGAGGGAGAATCGGTAAGGTTTGCTGAGTAGCTAAATATGGGGATGACAGAGAAATCAAGGAGGATTGTGAGGTTTCTAGCTTAAGTGACTTGGAGGAGAGCACTATTTACGAAGATTGGGAAACTCAGGAAGAGGAACAGGTTGCTTTCAGTTTGCTAGCAATGTAAAGAGGAAATAACTAGTTTAGCTTGGGATACTGAGTTAAAAATGTCCACAGATTATCTTTGTGCTGAAGCAAGCAAACTATGGGAAATGGAGGTTTAGATCTTGGGAGGAAGTTAGTGTTTAAAAACTGTACTCGAGAATCAAAGCCAGAAAGGAGAGTGTTGAAGGTGTCAAAGTGCTTGGAACTCACTGAAAGAGAGCATGCAAAGTGAGGAGAGAGGCCAGCAAATGAAGACAGAGCCCCGGAGACACTTACATTTAGGAGTATGGGCAGAGGAGGAGGAATCATCAAAGGAGGCTAAAAAGTAGCCAAGGCAGGGAACATTCCAAGAAGGAGAGAAAGATCCACTGTGCCATATGCTGCAGAGAGAGTCCAACAGCATGAAACGATAGTACTCAGGATTTGAAAGGTTATGAAAAAAAAATCCCCAGAATTTCCTTAGAGTATGAATTAGTTATGTGATTAAACATACAAATGTACTGTTCTCCAAGAAAGTGGAACTGTTTCCATATTCGGCATTGAATAGCAAGATATTATTTTCTTGTTTGTAGAGATATTCGTGGTCTAAAGAGAGAAAACGGCCAGATCAATACTTCTAGTTGCTATTAAACATCTTCATCAGCTAAAAATTATGCAATAAAAAATTTAAGATTTAAGTTTGTGCAAGTACTAAATAAGCATTTCTAAGCTGAAAAAACGTTGTTATAAATATTACTCTAGTATGCATTCACTATTGTCAAGGTTTCAATTCACATTTAACTTTTTATAGTACATATAAAAGAAATATTAGATTTCTTTCTGTCTTAAGTCCCTTTACACCCTTAGGTAGAAAAAGATACTCTCCCTTATGGTTTAAAAAAACAAGGATATCTTCTCAGTGCCATAAAAATGTCCCACAATCAAACTAGAATGAATATAAGAATAAAAATGTGTCCCCTCGCCAAAAAGTTCTTACCTGAAATCCATCTCAAGGTGTATAACTTTGTTCTCAAAGTATTTTTTAAATAATCAGTTAGCGTGTAGGTTCTGCGACTGTCAGCTGTAGCATCATCTGCTGGTTGAAAAAAAGAACCAAATGTTCAGTGAGATGGAATACCTAAGTTTTGCATAAAATAAACAAATGGATATCTACAATCTACACTGGTCGCAAGATACAGAAATAAACCCACAAAATGCGAAACACGTTTTGAAAGATTTTGAACTGGGTGGATGGAGTAAATATGCATTTAACCATTAAAGCATATCTGTGAGTATGTATTTTACTGTTATATTAGTGCTATATTAGTGACCTTCATTACAAAGGTCTAGGTCATCAATATCTAGTGAAAATATAATGTGAGTACATTTTCTAGTAGCTATATTTAAAAATTTTAAAGATGAACTCAATTTTAATAGCACATTTTATTTAGCACAATATATTCAGAACATCATCATTTCAATGTGTAATCGATATTTAAATGCTATTACTGAGATCTTTCACATTAATTTTTTTATACTAAAACTTTAAAGTCCGGTATGTAGTTTATATTACAGCATATACCAATTTGATTAGGAACAGTCCAAGTCAATAGTTATATGTGGCCATGTACTAGACAACAGGAGACTAGACCATGATTTCTTGTGGTCCTGGGGTCCTCTTCCAAGCCCTCTCACAATGCATAGAACTTTAAAACATGCCAATCACTCAATTCAAGGATCTTTGTTTTGTGGTCACTTTTCCTTAACTTGGTGAAAGTTTTCATGAAATCTTTTCCTTCGATTCTGTGACACTTCAGTTCTCCTCTTAACTCTCTATTATTTTCCATCTTCTACATCGACTATTTTTCTCCATTGACTTCAAAGGCAAGAAATGCTTTGGTACTCAGCCTTCATTCAGCTTTCTGCTCTTCTCTCTATATATTATTCTTTCCAGAGAATTCTAGAGAATGTGACTTCCTGGGTTTCAGTCATATTTTTTTTGTTTAAATTAAATGGCAAAATCTGTATTTATTAGCCTATACACATTTCTAGTGCTGTGTTGGGTCTTAGTTGACTTGGCTCACACTAATCCTATACTTACCTGGTCTAAAATGATTATCTTCCTTTCCAAACTAGTTTTTTCTAGGGGATTTGTGTCATTTTATATTCTTTTACTGGTGACCCAAATTCAAAGTCTGAAAATCATTTTTGATGCCTCCCTCTCTTTTACTATCTTCTCTATCCAATCAACCCCATTGATTCTTCCTGTGAAATCTTTTTCCAGGTATCCCTGACATCAAGTTCTTTCCAATCCATTTCCTCTACTGTAACACCATTTGAGTAATTTTTCTAAAATGCCACTTTCAACCTGGCGATTTCTTCCCCAAAGCTTTCAATGATTCCCCATTGCCTACAGAAGATTCAAACTCTTTAGTGAACCCAGTAGATCTTCTTAAACTTTCCCACCTGTATTCCTTATCCTAAGCTACTTCTTGCAGTGTCTTCAATGGCTTCCCTGGCTGTCATATCAGTCACCCTCCAACCCCCACCTCTTTGATGAACACTTCAATTCTTCATCCTCTGACTTTTGCCCCCACACTACTCATTTGGCTCTTGTCACAATGACTTGTGTTGATAACTATTTTTCTATACCTACCTGCCTACCTGTGTAGTCTACACAGCTAGGCCATGCAGAGCCTTTTGTTGTTGTTATTGTTGTTTTCCCATCAACCTTAGCATATAGCAGCACAGTTCTATGCCATAGTAGGCCCACACAAAAAGGTTTCGTTGATTGATGTAATTTATCTTCCAACAAGCATAGTCAAGCTGATGTGATTCCTCTTTCCCAAACCCAGATCCTCCACTGATGACAAACAACTTAAAGGCTTTTTCCAAATTCTCTACTTATTCCACATGCACACAAACCCACGCTCACAAAATCAGCCACCATCATAACATTCCAATAACTGCAGTTCTTACTCTTTGAGGATTGAAAAGCCAGCAGCGCCTTCTCTTGTTAATTTTTTTACAGTCCGTGAAAAGGCGATTCTCTTACAAGAAATTCTTTTTCAATATATGTTCTTAAGATTTTATTTCTTTGGATCTTATGTGATAACACAACCTTGTTTCTGCTTATAAAACCTTCAGTTTCAATAGATAAAATTCTACATTTCACTTTATTACTTTATTGATTTTGTGTAAACCTAGTTTGTTAAGAAGTTTAAAATTTTTTTCTTTTTTTTTTCCCAATTCATGACAGCATTTCACCACTGAAAGTTAGTAAGATGTTTGTGTTTGTAAGCAGAAATTTAGGAAGTGAGTAAAACCAGGACTTGGATTTGTCATTATTTAAACAAGAGTGAAGCCTTGTGCTACAGAAAATATTATTTGAAACTCATACTGGACTACAAGACTACAAATCTAAATTTGTTCACTAAATGCTGTCATTTGTTAGTATTCATCCAATCATTCTTTCATATACTAAATAGCTCTAAAGCAAACACTCTCGGAAAAATACTGTTGAGAATATATACCCTACTTCCAAGAGCTCTTAGTCTAAAATGTACATAAAACACATCCATAGATTCAAGGGATAATAATAATAGATATTCGCATATTTGCTGATGTAGATGTCTAGATAGACTTATAGATAGAGATAGGACAATTTATACACACACATGTATTGCAATAAATGGAATGTTTGTGTCCCCTCACTCCCGAATCCCTATGTTGAAATCCTAATCCTCAATATGATGGTATTAGGAGATGGGGCCTTTGGGAGGTGATTAGGTCATGAGGGTGGAGCCCTCATGAATGGGATTAGTGCCCTTAGAAAATTAAGTCCAGAGAGCTTTCTTACCGTAGCTCCACTGAAACAGGCTCTTGCCAGATACCAGATACTGAATCTGCTGGTGCCTTAGACTTCCCAGCCTCTATAACTATGAAAAGTAAATGTTTGTTGTTTAAGCCATGCAGTCCATGATAATTTGTTATAGCAGCCTGACTGACTATGATAGACATATATGATAGACATATCAGCACAGAACATTTATCACTGACTCTTGATTTTGTAAGAAAGGAAGAAACAAAGTACTGCAATAGATTATATTCAGTGTTATCTCATTTAAATGCTATCTCGCATAGGATATTTTCCCAGGTTTTTCTAAATAACACACTTATATCTGGAGTATTAAAATAATTGAGGCAAAATTCCTTGTAATGTCACCTGCTGCCCAGAGTGCTACTCTTCACATTCATAATGGGTTCCTCACTGAATATTTAGCTCTCCTGCCCTCCTTAGACAATGCTGGGCTCATTTTCTCTTCAGGCCATAGCTTTTCTAAAGCTATCATCTCTACTATACTTAGTCTCCTTTCACTCACAATGGGCCCAGTATGATTTTGATCCATCTGCTGATATCCTAGATATTAACATTGATGCCACACTCTTGCTATGGCCCAGAACATCCAGATGAGGCCCAGGCCACCCCTGTCTTGCGTGAGGTTCACTCAGCTCCTTTACAATGATGCTGCAAGTCGGCTTCCACATCCTGGTTACCCAGTCCCAGAACAGCCCTGCTAAATTGGAGCAAGTAGAGCAACAAATGTTCCTTGTTTTTTGCCTTGCCATTTGATAAGCGGAGCACATTGGAAGACACTTTTGAAACATCTAGATAAGCAAGTTCTGTGAGATGTGAGTGCCAAGTCCAGGTTTTGACCTTTAGCTAGTTCATATTTTGCTGCCAACTTACAACCTATTCTGTCAAACACTTAGAGGACACACTCTTTTTCCTATTGACTTGTTCACAGACAGGGCACTGCTGCGGTGACAGATGAAGGTCTTTGGCTGCTTATGTGGTTTTCCTGGTGGGCCTGGGACATGTCGTTCATTTGACTTATCAGTTCAAAGCACTGCTCGCCAAGTAAAGCAGTTAATCATATGTTACCAATCAGCATACACAGAAACTCTCAGATTCACGTCTTCTTTAATTTAAAAATCAAAAAAGGTTAATAACTTTACTCTTTGATGAGAGCAACTATTAGGTTGAACCGTATGGAAATGCCATTTCTATCAGTCAAAAATGGTAGCATAGCAGCTTCTAAAATAGTTCAACCTAAGAATGAATTCTCATAAACGTATGTGGTAGCTTAATGGGTTCTTGCTGTGAGATCAAAATCATTTCTGAGTACAAGTAATTCCAGAATGGTAAGATGCAAATAAGAGAGTAGTGTAGGTCCACAGAATATTCTTGCTTTGACCAATTATTACTTTATGATTATAGGATATTTTGAATATTTTATACTCATTAATAATAAACTTTTTTGGTCTGTATTAAGCTATGATATATAATATTTCTACTTTACAAATGTACACTGTTTTAGTAAATAAATGGCTAATGAAATTTAACTAAAAAGGAATGTGCTCTTTGCAGCTCATAAACTTATAAAGTTGTTAAACACAGGAAAAAGATATCTGGTTATAAATTTCTTGTGTTCCATATGGTAATCAGTTAACATTTTATATATATGTTAGGGAAATAAAATGAGCGTTACTTTAGAATTTGCTCTAGCAAAATAGTAGCCTTGACATAGGGACAGTGGAAGAAAAATCAAGAAGGCAGAAGGAGAAATTGACTAGAAGTTTCCTCATACCCTGTGTTATTCAGCAGCATATGCACGCTACCAGCAACTCTATTGATTCAACAAATACCAGGAAGGGGTTGGGTTCCTAGTGGCTTTGAAATCAGAGAGCCTGGATTTGAGCCCATGTCTAATTCTTCCACTGGGGCCTTGGAAAAATTACTGAGCTTGCAAAACCTCACTTTTTAAAATCTGTAAAATAAAACTAATAGCCTTATCTAGACTACAGGGATTTGCCGCAATTAAATAAGATAACATAAGTAAAGTGCTTAGCTCAGGACTTAAAATTTAGTAAGCCCTCCAGATATGTTACACTATTTAGTATCGTTTTGTTCTTAGCATGTGCTGGGCATTGGAGATACAAAGATGATCTGAAGTGTGTCTCCTCTGCAGTACCTAGCAGTGGTGCTGAAATTAAGAATTTTGCTGCAATAAAATAATAACACGAGAGCAGCAT